ACATAGTGAGACACATCTGGAGGAGTACTCTGATATCATCACCTACTTTACATCTATCCTCTCTGAACTCGATCCATGCAAGCCTGAAACTTCCCTTCGAGATAACTTGATCCACATACAGGATTCAGGTCTCGCATTGTGGCTGACACGGTATTGTCCAGACGATTGGCAGTTCGAGGCATTGGTGCACCCTAACTTTAGTAAATGGAACTACCAGATTGGAAGGGTGTTGAGCAATATATGGTCTAGCCGCCTGAATGTACTCCATTCAGACTTAGAGGGCACATTCATTCGCACGGTTCTCGTAGATGGGCCCTTCAATGCTAGAGATATGATTATATTCAATGTAGAGGCTGTACTTGAGTCTAGTGGCCCCATCGAAGAAAAGGTGAGCATGCCTTTATTAAGTGTCAATGTTGCGCTGACTATTCACAAGCAATTGTTACGACTGTTATCAGCTCCAGGTCTCAACAACATTTTGGAATGCTATCATAAAGGGGGGTGGGTACATAGTGGGGATATCCTGATCGAAGCATCTCGTTTCTCATGGTTTTATGACGAGATGAGGATAGCAAATGGACTAGAGTGGCTGCCACGCTTCAATCCGAATGGCTCATTGAACTGTGTCACGATACAGCTCCTTGTCGATCAACTCGTTTTCGAAAGCGCGGCCATGGATATCAGTGGGCCCCTTGAATGTGTGCACATGTGTTTACAAAACCCCAAAGGCATCGCCTCCGAACCATTATTCTACATGGCATACAACCTAGATGACCAAGGGGAGATATCACACCTTCGGAAGGCGCTAATGTGGGTTTTGCACAATGCAACCGCAATGCGTCATGCAGAGGGTCCACCGTCTCCTTCAGAAAAAGACACTGTGGTTCCCGAGTTCGCAGTGTTGGCGGTCCGAAGAGCCGAGCAATCCGGATCAGCATCTCCGGGACGACTTCGATCCTTCGAATTTGTCAAGAACATGTCGGACGAAGAGTGGGAGGAATGGTCAGCAAGAATCAAATCGATGGTCATGGGTATTAATTTACGTGGCTTGGAACCTGGGCCAATACACGACCAATGTAGGTTCATACGAGATCCTGATGGTGCTTGTGGGTCTATTCGTCCGGTCTAAGCTCGTGGTCATACCGTTCTCGTTTCTTATTTCCTTAGTATCAAGTCATCTTGTAACGAATATAATTTGTTTTGTATTCCATCATGCTAGTCAAGATGGCCCCAATTTGTAAATCACAGTGTAAGCACAACAAATCCGAAAGCAACAACGGGACGGAG